GAAATAGGGTTAAATTAATATTGGAGTAAGTAGCAACAACTTTTTCTTTAGATAATCTTTTGCCATTCTTTGTAAATGTCTGTAATGGTGACTTTTCAAGTTAATAACAAATTAAGATTTGCTGTGTTTAGGAAGTACGAGCCAACAGGGTACATCTTAAAGATCCGACAAATAACTCGATCCAACTTTTCGCCCTTGTTGCCCCTTTATTTCCATTTGGTTCTTCGCAATTCGATGCTGCCACATGTAGTCCTGAACAACAAATAGAATTGCAAAAGAAGGTTAAAACTTTAATGATATTCGTCTTTCATTCTCTCAATATAAGTATATTTAAAGTGGATTAGATGTTATTCTAGAATTATTTTCGCGATATTGAAACATCTTTCCGTCGCTCTTATTTTAGAGATCTTCTACTGCTACTTTTATTCTTACTTTAAAAAATTTGAAAAGAAGTTGAAGTTTCTATGTTTTGTGCAATTGTTTATTATTTTTTGCGATTTACCAAAGTGAAAGATCAATTTAATTCAAAATAAAACGAATTTACTGTAATTGAAATACTATTAAATATTTTCGCGTCTCGCGATATGTAGTCGACTCTTACTCATGAGTCGGTAAAAGTCGGTCGTTAGCATCCAAACGAAATACGGCAATTAAATCCTGAACGTGAAATACAATGTCCGATAACCCAATATATCCAAAATCCCGACATACATTCAAATTATATTTGATGCTAACAACGTACACGATCCCACTGCTCGATCAAAAAACATGAATTTAATATAATTATCGCATTCACGCCACGCCATAATTCTCTAATGAAATGGGCTAATTTTTATTGGCTGTTCTTTAAGTTCTTTAATCACTTATGGTATATCACATAAAATAATGTCAACCAATAATATAAACCATTTCATATGAAAAATCATTTAATAAAATTGATTAGATTTAGAAATATTTTACGTATGACAAACCAACTTTTGATGGAAATAATTAATTGCCAATTTAGTGATAATTGTACTATTAAAACAATGAAACGTTAATTATTTGATGCATTTATACAGTAGCTAGCACAACGATCATTGATACAAGCTATTCACTCATTATCATCCAGTTGGTCTATAAGGTTCAACTATAATGTCACAGACTGCTCCAAAGTCTATAAGTTCACCGATACTTTCACCACTTTCTTCACCAGAAGGGGAAGGGTCCGACGGAGCTGCGCTTGATGGTAAACGAGTGAACTTTTCGTTATTAATAG